AGACATAGACAGACGGACAGACAGATAGACAGACAGAGGGACGGACGGACGGACCGACAGACAGACAGAGGGACAGACGACGGACCGACAGACAGACAGAGGGACAGACGGAGGGACGGACCAACAGACGGAGGGACAGACGGACCGACAGACAGACAGAGGGACGGACGGACGGACCGACAGACAGACACACAGACAGACCGACAGACAGACAGATAGACAGACGGACGGACTGACAGACGGAGGGACGGACGGACAGGCAGGCAGACAGACAGACAGACAGACAGACAGACAGACAGGTAAATAAACAGATAGATAGATAAATAGATAGATAGATAGATAGGAAGACAGACAAACAAACAACCCCAGTGAAATGAAGAAACACGCTTTTGTATCTGTCGGAGCGGATAGCGGCGCGATCGTCGTTCTCCTTTTAACTGCACTTACTTTCCGGGTATCCAGCGCTTCGGCATCTACGGCGGACGCCACAGACACTAACGAGAGCAGTACTTTGCCCGCCTGTAACAGAACTGTGAGGATCGTGGAAACGACTCACAGCCGAGCAAATAGCTTATTAATTGATTTTCCCTTCAAAGATGAGCTTCGTCTTTCACAAGCAGGTGAGTCTCCTAGTAGTAAATGGTGGAAAGATTAGCGCATTTATGCACTCTAGCCTGTTAAAGTTTTTTTTTTTTTATATTAATTAACACGACTCAGCAGAGTGTCGTCGCTCAACTCTTGGCTTTTATACGGGGTACGGCTGGTAGGTTTATTTCAGGGTGCTAATAGGATTGTAGTATAGGATAAAATCGTGCAGTTAGTAAGCGCAGTAATAATATTCTAATTATTGTCTGTGTACTTTGATAACGTCCGGCACGCCGACGGTTGCTGTCTGTACAGCTGTGAAATTGGACCGATGTAAAGTACAGGACTCTGTAACAACTAGTGAGCTGCTTCGAATAGTAACGACAATATGCGATCAGAAGAAAACTTTTTTAAAAAACAATTTTCAGCGTTTTCATGCTTTCCATTCTATGTTCGAGTAGTATCTGCAGGAAATGGATCCAGAGGTCTCGCAGTGAACATGTATTCATCAGGTGGAACTAGGTCGATGTATTTCACTGTGTGTTCTCTCACTCTGAAAATCAACCTTTAGGTGCATTCTCTAGCTAAAGCTCAAGTGCCAATCTTACATGCACGTACATGTCCGACGCGTGCAATTGGATAGGTAGCCGCTCAAATGATCGTTACGGTACGTTGTTGGACATCGATTATCGAGCTAATCAGCAATAGTTAACAATGCATAACATACATAGAATCTTTGTGCGTGTAAATAAATATAACAGTGATTGAAATCGATAATTACGATCGTTCGTTACTGCATAGCACTGCCCAAAGGGCATGGCTGAGTGACAAACCCAGCCCGGTAAGTAACCTTATTATTGGGTCAGACGAATGCGACGAGATCGCTTCTTATCGGCATTGAACAAACACAAAAAAAAGAGACGATATTGGCGATAAATTGAATCTTGCTCACCAATAAGAATTCTAATACAGTCCTAAATATATTCGATTAATATAAAAGCGCGCTGAATGTCATATACCGTCAGTTATATTAATCGTACTAAATATTACTAAGTTAGAACTTGGTAACGCTGTTCAGCAGATAGCATGCGCCACTTATTATATTGCTGATTCCTATGGTCACACTTCTGACAATGAGGATTGACAATAGTCGTTTAAAAGTTTAACAAACGTATCAATATATTATATTACTAAAAATATGTGTGTTTGCCTTTTTATTAATGATCTGTTTTTTAAAAGTGATCCACGCCGAAAGGTCGACTCGATCCGACTTTTTGTGGCTGTTAAAACTCTACGTTGAGATGAGTCTCGTTATTTATTGCACGTTTTTAAAAAGAAAACACTTTTCGACTTTCCAGTTCCTTGGTATTGTGACACCCGCCGAGTAGCCGAAAGGGCTGATCGAAGCCAGGGGGTGTTTCCTATAATACCTGCATAAGTGCGGTTGAAGAGGGGAAGTATTAACGAAGAATGGACCTAGGCTGCGTACACGAAATCTACATGACTAGGTAGATTGGCGAAAAACTGTTTTTGGGCTTGTTTTTTCGTAGAAAACGAATAGTCTTTGAGTATTCCAACGGTGTGAACTGATCCGCGGCCAACACCATGAAAAGAACATAATGGAATGGAAGAACGCTCTTGCCATGCAATGCGTTCTTGCTACTATGTCCTTAGACGTATCTGAGATATGCGTGGAGGATAATTTGAGCAAGCAGAGTTTTTGGGCTCTGGCTTATTCTACTGGCCATGTGAACCTGTGATTAGATACGTAATACGGATATTAACGTACACGTCACACAAATAGAATATAGTGGAACTAATTTCCCAGCAGTGATTATCTGGGCTAATAGAATAGAAATTGGGGTCGATCAAGTACTACCGCACAAAATTTCAAATCGTTTGTATCATCAACGTTTGCGAAGGTGTGTGTTTACTCGATACAGGTTAGCATTTAATTGTGCCGAAATTTCCTTCAAAAGATCTGAGAAAAAAATCTTCCTCGTAAAAGATCTGATATCACCAATAACTTCGTATTTTGTAATAGTACTTAGGAACTTCGAAACATTTGTGAAATGCTGAATGCGTATTTGTCAGACTTAAGAGATACAACAGACAAAATATAGATGTTCTTTGAATTCATTTAGGCTTCAAAGCGTTCTTAGTTCTGCTTGGTAGGAACTCGTGTTCGTAGTCATTATCAGAAACATTCTTCCACTATATTGGTCAGACGTACAACGGACAGTGCTATGCCTGCGAATAAAAGCTAGTAGTATAGTGAGATAACGGCAAATATGGCTTATTACGTCCGCCTGGACTTAATCAGAAGCTGCCTTAAAAAACGCAACGCGATACCTCTCTGTTAATTTTCCGCAAATACTAATAATAACAACCGATGATACAGTTATCTACATATCTGTGACATTATGCATCATGACGCTCGAATCCGATGTTTCATTTGCTTTGACGCCACTAGGTGGTAAAAACTGACAAGAAAAAAGATGGTAAAGCAAGGACACTGCAGCGCTTATATATCCATGCTGTAGTTGGCGTAATAGTAGAGCTGGCGATAGAGATGAATTTATGTAGTGCGCTGCACAGAGGAAGATCAAAGACAAGCAGTGATATAGAAGTCGTAGCTTAGGCTATTTACTGTTATGGTTGAGCCAGTGAAAAGCGATCAGTCGAGGGAAAATATGACACAGTAGTGCTATTTGGTCCGTTACTATATTTGAAATTCTTAGAAAAATTCGGGTGTCTTTTGAGGATATCGTTGCAGTGGAACAATAGCATAGCTGTTATTGTTAATGGCTTGATTTTGTGCGCATTCATCGATTTATGCCCCTGAATTCCTGCCCGAAAAAGAGGGCAGCCGATAGCGGATTAAGGGGTAATTTTAGGGCTTATGTGACCTTAATCGGCTGTTTTTATAAACGAATATGGTCAACACGTGAAGAATTAATGTTTTATCGAAAGACCGAATCTTAGCTTTGCACCGTTCGATCTGTAATGCTTTTTGGCCGGATGATTAACTTTGTTCGAATTTGGAAACACCTACTGATTTGACTATTAACGAGTTCAATGGATGCTTGAGGTCTGTGTCCCGATATGAATGTATAGCACAAAACTTTGAGCCATATTTTGAAAGGACCCATTGCACGCTTGTTCGGTGTAAATGGAATAGGAGATCATAACATTTTATCCACTCGAGTTAGCTACTGGCGAAAATAAGAATCCTATCGTTATCAATGATATCGGAGAAAACGCAGAAGGAGAACACACGCAAGGGCAGTCAGCTGTCGGCAATGAGAATTCTTTCTTCTAAACTATCCAATATTTGTTAAATCCAGTATGGGATGTAATGTCAACGATGCAAACAAACAAAAGGTTAGATATGAAATCTGACAAGTCTTTGCTCCTTGCTCACCGTACCAAAGTTGCAGTCCTTCACGTGCATCGACCAGCACGATTACGTGGGGATACGTACGAAATACAGGTAAAGCAGTTATCAGGCTATAGATACTATCATGAGCGGTAAACGAGAATCCACAAATTTCTTGTTAAGCAGCTTCAGTCGTCGCATTGCTACGGTCAGTACTGAGTTCTTCATTGGCCGCCGACAGCTTGCCGGTTGCACGTAGAGCATAAGCTGACTGGGTTAAACCGGACCATTTTTCAGTTGGGTCAACACTGTGACGCTGTTATTACTGCTGGCACGCTCAGCTGGTCAGCTAGTGCTCGTACGACTGCAACAACAACAACGGCCAAAGCAACCTCGCTGTGTCTACTTGCGTAGCTGCACGTGTATGAATGTGTATATATGACGAGGCAGAATGAATGAAGGGTATCCTTATCACGTACACGCGGTCTACCAGTATTCGCGGTAAGCGATGTCTCTCTGCGAAGATCGTAAAAAAGCGACGGTCATCTGCGCGGTTTTTTCGACCTCGACAGGCAAACGTAGATGCATGCAGACATACCGACAGACAAATAGGCCCAGCGTCGCGCACCTTCAATACAGACACACTCATATAGGCGTATGGCCTAGCTGACACAAACTTAACATCGTAGGAAGGCATTACGCCGCTACTGTAGTGGAACAACTCGGCCCAGTCTGGTAGCCATATGGTAGAGCAAACCTAGAGGTTATAAAAATCACTGAGCCGTTTTTTGAAAACGAAAAAAAATAACGCCAATAATTAGAAAATTATTCAAATTTTTTCCTTTCATTTTACCAAGTGTACACATCTCTTAGACGTATTAGCACGGAGAATTCCGCTGGCGAACGAGATCTTTATGTTGCTATATTCGAAAACACATTGGTAGTTACCTTTAAATGGTAGAAGATATGTCTGTCAAGTGGCTGTTGCAGTGATGGCTTACGTAAACACTTCAAACGTATTGCTTTGTCAGGCAGTATTCGCTCACTCATCAGTTTTCTTCAACAGTTGCTGTCCCAGCGATTTTTGAGTCAGTATCTTGCATTAACTATTTGTATAATAGATAGTGAACTTTTTAAGTTTTGTAAAATGGGGAACTACGATCCCTTCATGGAGCCAGCGAGCGACATACACCGATTGACGAAACGTTGTTTTATATATTCAATAATAAGTGTCGACGAATTACTTTTTCCAAGCTGTGTAAATAAGTGACCGTATATATACGTATGTAACCGGGATCCTGCTCGCACCAGACATCATCTCTGGGAGTCGGTTTTTGTGTCGCCCGAGATTTAATAACGACACGAGATAAAAACTAGGAACAGACAAGAAACAACGAAAACGAGAACTAGATCCCTGGTAGCGCCAGGTTAATATAAGTTATTAGCCACAGAGACGGAACTGACGAAGCGCGTCATCAGCATACTTCTAATATCATCAAGTTATTCCCTGCGAGGAAACTAACAGCGTTCTTCAACTGCCACCAATACAACGCGATTTTATCCACTATGGACTGATGGCAAGCATTGTTTTTGGCCATTGTTGCGTCTATTGGTCGCTGTTGTTCCTTCTAAGCGTCCGCTGCGTGATTAATGAAT